GTTTTAAGATTTATTTTGGGGCCGGCGCCGCGGCTCACTAGGCTAATCCTCCGCCTTTGGTGCCAGCGCACCGGGTTCTAGTCCTGGTCGGGGCGCCGGATTCTGTCCCGGTTGCCCCTCTTCCAGGCCAGCTCTCTGCTGTGGCCAGGGAGTGCAGTGGAGGATGGCCCAAGTGCTTGGGCCCTGCACCCCATGGGAGACCAGGAGAAACACCTGGCTCCTGCCTTCGGATCAGCGTGGTGCGCTGGCCGCGGCGGCCATTGGAGGGTGAACCAATGGCAAAGGAAGACCTTTCTCTCTCTCTCTCTCTCTCTCACTGTCCACTCTGCCTGTCAAAAAAAACAAAAAAAAAAGATTTATTTTAGCTTTTTGAAAGTTACAGAGAAACAGCGGTCTTCCATCCACTGGTTCACTCTCCAAATGACTGCAATGGCCAGAGCTGAGCTGATTCAGAGCCAAGAGCCAGGAGCTGCTTCTGGGTCTCCCAAGCAGATCCAGGGGCCCAAAGACTTGGGCCATCTTCTGCTTTCCCAGGCCTGGCAGAGAGCTGGATTGGAAGTGGGGCAGCTGGGTCTCAAACCGGTGCATGGGATGCTGGCGCTGCAGGCCAGGGCTTTAACCCACTGTGTCACAGCGCTGGCCCCAGGCGAAGCTCTCGAGCAGGGCAGTGACGTGATAGGACATGATGGCAGGCGGAGAAAGGACGCCAGCGTGAGCGTGGACGTGAACCAGCCAGGGAGTGGCTGCGGTGTGTGTTCCGGGCACCTGGATGTGAGGAAGGAAGCAGGCAGGGATTGAGGTCCCAGGTCAGAGGCTGGTGGAGAGTGAGGTCTGGTCTTGGTCAGGGCACATTTGAGTTGTCTGGCACAGTGGGGACAGTCACCACCCTCGAGCGTCTGTACTGAGCCAGAGGGCATGGAGGTGCAGAGTCGAAGTCCCAGCTCTGCCACTTCCTAGCTGGATGACCTTGGACATCCTTGAGCTTCAGTTGTCTTATCTGTCAAATGGGGCTTTTGTACTGACCGTCCGCAGGCTGGACAGGGCTAATGTACGCCACGTGCTTGCGAGCACCAGCTGCTGCCACGGTTCAGTCCTCAGAGGCCCGAGACAGGTGGCTTACCCGAGGGACTGTGCTCAGTGACTTAGAGCGAGGATCGTGCATCACACGGCTCCTGTGGGTCAGGAGTGCAGCACGCTTAGCCGGACACTTCTGCCTCAGGGTGTCTCGAGGTTGCAGCCGAAATGTGGGCCCTGGCTGTAAAATGGTGGAGCTGGGACTTGAACTCCGGTCTTCTGCCTTTTTGTGTCTGTCCTGTGGCAGGATTGTAATCGACCCACCCCCAGCCTGTGTCCCCTGGGATCTCCTGTACTCACAGTTGGGCATCTAGGTAAAGCCAAGACGGGCACCAAGCTCCCAGCCAGGTCTCCTTGGCCTCCCTCCTGGTTACTGGGCATCCTCCCATTGTTTTTGCTGCAGGTGAAGCGGAGACTGGACCTGGAAACTGACCATCAATACCTGGCTGAAAGCAGTGTGCCCGTCCGGGGCAGAGGCCGCCACCCGGGGAAAGGTACCCATGGAGCTTGGGGTTGGCAGGCCCTCTGACCAGGCCCAGGGTGAGGGTGTGGACAAACTCTGTGGCAGACTGAAGGCTGGCTGGTCAGGTCTGGGTCTGAGCCAGGCCTTGGGGGTCTGCCTGGCATGGCTTCCTCAGACCCTGGGGGCTGGGGAGTTCCCTGGCTGGAAAAGGAATGCGGTGGCTGGCAGGCAGCAGCCACTGGGCCTCTCTGCCTGGCCTGGCTGAGGGGGAGGAACCATCTGCGGGCCCCCACCCCCATTCCTGCTGCTTTGCATTGCCAGGGAGGCAAGCCTAGCTGGGGGGTGGGTAGTGGGTGCTGAGGGCCCTTGCCTGGTCTCCCCAGGTGTGAAATCCCCTGGGGAGAAGTCACGCTATGAGACCTCGCTGAACCTGACCACCAAACGCTTCCTGGAGCTGCTGAGCCGCTCAGCTGATGGCGTTGTTGACCTGAACTGGGCGGCCGAGGTGCTGAAGGTGCAGAAACGGCGCATCTACGACATCACCAACGTCCTTGAGGGCATCCAGCTCATTGCCAAGAAGTCCAAGAACCACATCCAGTGGCTGTAGGTACCAGTCTAGTGGGACAGCAGAAATACCTGGCCGTGGCAGCCCAGAGGAGCTGGTAGCAGCTCCACTGAGGCTCTCTGCACCCTCCTCTCGCAGTGAGGGGAGCGCTCAGAGCAGCGGTGGCTTCCCCAAGATGGCAGATGCTGGAGAGCGCACGGATCCTCCATAGGCAGCGCAGTGCAGCTCTGCGTGCTGTTCACCCACGTCGTCTCCATCCGGATCAGGGTGAAGAGCATGTCCGAGTCCCAGAAAGATCCCCGGGGCCCCTTCCAGTCTTTGCCCCTCCTCCTACCGCCAGGTCACCAGTGTTTGGCTTTGGTTGCCATGGGTGAGGTGTTTAGTACCCTTGCTCTTTTTATTTTTTTTAAAGATTTGTCTGAAAGAGAGCGTGTGCTTCCATCTGCTAGTTCGCTCTCCAGGTGGCTTTGGCCAGGGCTGGGCCATCTTCCACCACTTTGCCCAATCTGTTAGCAGGGAGCTGGATTTGAAGTGGAGCACCCAGGACACATGGGGTGCTGGCGTTGCAGGTGGAGGCTCTACCACTGTGCCACAGTGCTGTTCCCTAGGTTTATTTTATTTGAAAAGCAGAGTGACAGAGATGGAAGAGACATTTTCTAAGATTTTATTTATTTGAAAGAGTTATGCAGAGAGAGAGGTCTTCCATCTGCTGATTCACTCCCCAATTGGCCACAACAGTCAGAGCTGCGCCAATCCGAAGCCAGGAGCTTCTGGGCCCCCCTCGTGGGTGCAGGGGCCCAAGGACTTGGGCCATCTTCCACTGCTTTTCCAGGCCATAGCAGAGAGCTGGATCGGAAGCGGAGCAGCCGGGACTGGAACTGGCGCCCATATGGGATGGCGTCACTGCAGGCAACAGCTTTACCCACTATGCCACAGTGCTGGCCCCTCCTGCCCGTTCCTATTTTATTTCCCCCTCACCTCTTTTCCCCAGGCGTCCTGCTAACTCTCTGACACGTCTGCCTTTTCAGCCTGTGGCAGGTCATCCCATTTCACAGCATTTTTCCCTTTTCATGGACTGTGTGTCAAGTGCTCTGTGTGTGTCTGATGCATTCTTGTCCTTATACAACTTGTCATGTTCCGTAGTGGCTCCATCTGCTTATCCGGCCCCCGAGGAGGGACCTATGTGCGTTTGCAGACATCGAGGCCAGGCTTTAAACCCACACAGGCTGATCTGGAGCCCCCCTGAGGAGCCAGACCCAGAGAGGGGCAAGGGCTTGGCTGGGTCTCAGAACAGGCAGCAGCAGACCTGGTCCAAGAGCTGTTAACCCTTGTGGTCCTCCCCACAGAGGCAGCCACACCACGGTGGGCATCGGCGGACGGCTTGAAGGGCTAACACAGGACCTCCGGCAGCTGGAGGAGAGCGAGCAGCAGCTGGACCACCTGATGCACCTCTGTGCCACACAGCTGCGGCTGCTTTCTGAGGACTCTGACAGCCAGCGATATCCTTGGCTGGAAGCTGTGGGCCCCCCACGAGTGGCACTGGAGAGGCCACCCTGGGCCCTGGGAGAGCACCCGGGTTGTGGGTGCAGGTCCTGGCTCAGCACGTGCTGTGTCACTAGGCCAGTTACTTAACCTTTCAGCGCTTAGCTTCATCTATAAAGGACGTAATGTCCAACTCTGAAATCCGATTACGAAAGAAAGGCAGGTGTTAACAGTAACCATTGTGGCTTCAAAGGTACAGGCAATTTATTTTTCATTTTTGTAAGGAATTTCCTTAAAATAGGACTTCTTTTTAGTGGATACCCAAATTGTGCTTCTAAGTTTTGACTCCAAAATCATGGTTCAAAATAAGTTGGCCAGTAGCGGCCTGGAGTTGCACTGAGCGTTTTCCTAGGAGTCATCATTGCAGGCAGCCGCCATCATCCCCTTGGGATTGGAGGAGCTGAATGGTCCCATTGTACGGGAGTGGAAGCTGAGGCTCGGGGCAGGGAAGGGAGATCTTGAAAGTACCACATGCCAGGCCCTAGGTAGGGGGTTGAGCGGTGAGGACAGCAGAGAACAGGCAGCCACAGGCCTGCCTATGAGCTGTCTGGGTGAGTGGCCCCCAGAGGCAGAGGCCGTGTGTAGTCCTTGACTCCTCCAACCCTGGCCTACGTGACCTGCCAGGACCTTCGGAGCATTGTGGATCCTGCAGAGCAGATGGTCATGGTGATCAAGGCTCCTCCTGAGACCCAGCTCCAAGCTGTGGACTCCGCAGAGGTGAGACCAAGACAGGCTGGGCTGGGCTGTGATCGCCCGGGCCTGCGTTTACCCCGCCTGCCACCTCTACCCAGACCTTTCAGATCTCCCTTAAGAGCAAACAAGGCCCCATCGATGTTTTCCTGTGCCCTGAGGAGAGTGCGGGCGCGATCAGTCCTGGGAAGACCCCGACCCAGGGCGTGGCATCTGGGGAGGAAGACAGGACAGCTGACTCTGCCACCTTGGTTCCACCTTTGTCATCTCCTCCCTCATCCCCTGCTCTGGATCCCAGCCAGTCCCTTCTCAGCCTGGAGCAAGGTAGTTGAGGGGTGCGGGGTAGGGTGAGGTAGGGCAGAGCCCCCTCGTGAGCGTGCAGGCAGCCCCTGTGATGTTCCCCTGTCTTCCCAGAACCGCTGCTATCCCGCATGGGTGGCCTCCGAGCCCCCGTGGATGAGGACCGCCTGTCCCCACTGGTGGCAGCTGACTCGCTCCTGGAGCACGTGCGGGAGGACTTCTCCAGCCTCCTCCCCGAGGAGTTCATCAGCCTTTCCCCTCCCCATGAGACCCTCGACTACCACTTCGGCCTCGAGGAGGGGGAGGGCATTAGAGACCTCTTTGACTGTGACTTTGGGGATCTCACCCCGCTGGATTTCTGAGGAGGCTTCGGGGGGAGGTATCTCCTGAGATGCCCACCCTGGCTGTCTCTGCAGCCCCGGAGCCCCTTGCCTCTGGCCGTCCTCCCAGCCTGATTGGAAATGTTTAATTTATTCCCCTCTCCTATCTCCAGGGGCTTCTCGCTCTGGGATCTGGCTGTCGCCAGGAAGGGGGGATTCTGTTTGCAGTGTGTGTGTGCTTATCCCTGACACCCCCCACGTGTGTACCTGGGGTGCGTGTGGTGTGAGCGTGCATGTGTGCGTGGACCGGGGAATGAAGGTGAACACATCTGTGCGTGTACTGCAGACGCACCCCAGTGTGTCCACGTGTGTGGCGTGCGTCCGTGTGTGCGCGTGAGGGGGCTCGAACTGCACTTTCGGTCTCCTTGCTCCAGGGGCCCCACGAGGCCCAGGGCAGCCCCCTGCCCACAGCATCCTGTGTGCTGAGCGGGCCAGGTGGGAGCCCTTGGCTGTGAGGGTACAGGACAGTGAGCACTTCTGTCTTAAGGGTTTCCTGACCGAAGCTTTAATGGAGCGTTATTTATTTATCAAGGCCTCCTGGGTAGCCTGGGAATGGGCAAAGGGTCGGAGGGAGGAAGGCCTGCAGAGCTGACTCCCTGTCCCTGAGCAGAGACGGGGCCCTGAGCTGTTCTCACCCCGCCCGGAAGGAGCTGAGGCCTGAGCGATTTATTTATTGGGAAAAGGAGGGAGGGAGACAGACTGACTGACAGCCAGCCAGCCGTGAGTGATGGAGGGGGTGGCTCCTCCCCAGAGTCACTGCAGGTCCCCAGCCGTCCCCCAGGTTGGCCGTGAGCAGGGAGAGGGGAGTGAGGGATCTTCCCTGAGGGTGGGCAGGAGGGGTGAGTGAGGGGCCTCTCGTGTGGTCAGCTGGCTGCTCCGTCCCACCCTCCATCTGCACTTTGACTTGTTTCCTAACAGCTCTGTTCTCTCCTGCTTTGGTTTTAATAAATATTTTGATGACGTTTGGGCTGGGTCTGGGGACTCTGTACTGGGAGCAAGTCTGGCTGGGAAATGCCGTTCCCCACGTCCCTTCCTCGCCCTGCCCCGGTCAGTCTCGTTTGAGCCTCATGACTCCAAGAAAGGTGGGCATCTTCCTCCTAGCTAAAGATGGGTCCAGTAGAGAATCTTGTCCTGAGAAGTGACAAACCGCAGGGGGTAAGTGGACTCCTCCTTCGCCTGCCCCCAGGCAACTCACCAGTTGGCTGTGTTCATTCTGGGTAGTTGTGGGCCTTGTAAACATGCAGCAAAGAGGTCTTCCATCTGCTGGTTCACTCCTCCAAATGGCCACAACAGCCAGGTGTGAATGACTTCCCTTGGAGTCTCAGAGGCTGGTGAAGATTCGCACAGATGAGATCTGGGAGAGCTTCCTGGAAGGGGGGGGGGTGCTGGAATTGAGAACTGCAGGATGAGTGGGAGCTAATCTGAGTCACTCCAAGCAAAGGCCCTGGGGCGGGAGGGGCAGGGATCCTGAAACAAGGGATGGAGAGGGAAGTGGAGTGCTGTGCTTCTCTTGGTGGTGGGGGGGGGGCAAGGAGCTACTAGGCCCTCAGGGTCCTGTGCACTTGAACGCCCCATCTGCCTGCTGGGCGGAGACAGGAGGTGAATTCGAGGGTGGGGCCAGGATGTCCGAGGCCTTGGCCAGGTGGCGTCCAGTGGACCAGCTTTCTCTGAGCCAGTCCCAACAGGTTTTCCCAGAGGTCAAGCCCCTTTGGGGGTGTGGCCCACTTGGTGTCACTCATGCTTCTGCAGTTTGCAATGTTTATCCCATAGTAGTCTGGGGCTCTCCCTCCGGGTGGGCATGCACAGCCCCTCGCTGTGGGCCTTCAGGGGAAATCATCTGCGTGGGTTGGTCCTGACCGCGTGGTGGCTGCAGCTCTGAGAGCCTCCTAGGGCACTGTCCCAGCCTGGGGGTGGGGGGCTTGCTGGGGCCGGGGTCCAAGCTGGCGCTGCTCCGGCCTAGCAGGAGGGGGGGGGGCCGGGGGTGTGGCCCTGGCCAAGCCAGCGCCAATGGGCGGGCTCCCGCAGCCCTCCGAGCCGAGCCGACCAGCGCCGGGAGGGAGCGAGGGAGCGTAGCCCAGCCAGAGGCGAGCGGCTGGTGGCGCCATGGCATGCGCGGGGCTGCTCACCGTGTGCCTGCTCCGGCCGCCAGCCCCCCGGGCCCCGCGCCCACCGGAGCCCGCGCCGGACAATAGGCCCGCTGGACATGCTCTCTTCCAGGACGTGAGTGGGGTGCGGGCTGGCTCGCGGGGTCTCTGCCAGTGTGTGTGTGGCTCTCTGCGTCTGTCGGTGTCAGTGTCTCCCACTCCGGGTCCCTTGAGGCCGTGCCCCTGCACCCCTGCCTGTCTGCCCCTCTGTCCCTCTATTGTGTCCCCACTTCTGTCCCTGCTGCCCCCATCCCAGACCCACCCTGTCTCTCTGATGGGGGTGGGGGGGACTGCAGCCCCTGACGGCAGGAGCAGTCTTGATGCCAGCCCAGTGGTAGACCCCGGCTGGGCTGCCCCAAGCCAGGGGGCATGGACACAGGAGGAGCCCCTCGTGACCCAGTGTCCCCCCCCTCCCCACTGCGCGTCCCGCAGGCCTGAGGCCGGGGCAGCCGAGTCCTACAGTTGGTAGGGGCGCCCACGCATGTCCTGTGGCCTGGGTACCCCTCCTGTGGGGCAGCAGGTAGCCCTGCAGTCCCCCAGGCACCAGTGTGGAGCAGCCTGGCTGGGCTTCGGCTGCACTCTGTACCCTTGGGCTGAGTACCTCAACCCCCGCCTGCCCCCACTCCAGCACCCCTCTTTGGGAGAAGCCACACCCCTGCCCCCTCCCCACTGCCCCCAGTAGTGACTCAGCAGCTTGACCGAGTCCTCCTGGCTGGAAGGGACCTGCCTCTTCCCCCTTCCCAGATGGAAAAACTGAGGCCTGGGGGGGGGGGTCTGTCCTGGGTCACCCGTGGAGGCAGGGACACCACAGGATGTGGCCCCAGATGCCCTCAAGGCCATCGTAACGCCCCTGCCCCCGAGTATCTCCGGCTTCCCCACCCAGGCCACACTGGGCTGCTGTGTGACCCTGACCAGGGACAGGCTTCCAAGAGGGTTCCTTCCTGAGCACCCAGCAGGAGGGGCTGGCATTCGGGAGCTGGAGCTGAGGCTCTTGTCCAGGCTTTGGCCTCCCCCTGCTTGCCCGGCCAGCAAGGGCTGCCTGCGGCGACCTGGGGTCTAGTCCCGGGGACCTGTCTTGGTTCTGCTCTTTGCTGCTGGTGCTGTTCCTCTTCAACTCATTGATAAAATCCGCTCCCTTCCACCCTGCGCCCCCTTTGCATGAGTGCACACCCTCCTGTGCTCCTGCCTTTGCCTCAGACCCTCACAGCCACTTTCTAGGGAGGCGCACCCCTAAGGGGTGAACCCCAGGCTGCTCCCTCCATGGCTAGTGGGCCGCTTCCTGCGTGGCGGTCCTCAGTAAGCACAGGGAAACAGCCCGGAGAGGACAGAGACCATGGCCACACAGCAGAGCTAGGGATTCGAGTCTGGGACAGCTGCCCAGACTCCCTGAGCCGCATCTTGGCCATCTCCCCACACTCCCTCAAGCTGGGACGGTGCCATGGTCCAATGCATCAACTGGGACTTGGGCCAGCCTCTAGTTGTGGGAAGTGGATGTGCAGGAGCTGGCCCGGAGAACCCCCGCGGCCCCCGTGAAGCTGGGCCCTGCGGGGGAAGCGAGCAAGTGGTGTGACCTGCTGGGCGCTCTTCCTGTGCAGGCACAGCTCCTGCAGGGCTGAGCGGAGCAGGGGGCTGGGCCCAGGTTGGGCAGAGAAAAGACCAGGGGTGCAGCAAGGGGGCCCTCTTACCTCCCAGGCCCACTCACAGCTCCCACCCTGCCTTTGTCCTCCAGGTGTTCCGCAGAGCCGACAAGAACGGTGAGTCTGGCTTCCCCTGGGTCCCACCGTTGGGCAGGGTGGGGGGCTTCAGGCCCTGGGAGAGTTGGGGGTTTGTGGGAGCACAGTCTAGGATGGAGGCAAATCTGGGGAGGACCTGAAACGAGAGAGCCAATCAGCAGCCTCCCCAAGGAGGCGAGTGTGGTCTGGCCGTGCTGAAGGCCTGTGGGAGCGATGCTCATGCAGTGCCTGGCACAGTGACCTCGTGTTGTCCTCACAACCACCATCTGGTGGGAATTCTTCACCTCATGCCACAGAGGAGCAGAGGCTCAGAGAGGTAGAGCAGATGGCCTGACGCCACACAGCCTTAGGTTGGTGGGCCTTGAACCCAGGTCCGCGTGACACAGGGTTCCAGATTCCCCGTTTGAGGCACTTGGAAGGGTGGGAAAATGGAGACAAGGCTGTGGGGGACGTCACTCAGATGTCCGTTTCCACCTGACCCACATTCGGGCCCAGGGAAGGCCTGGAGGACCAAAGTCAGGTCTTCCTGTCCTGGGTCCGGGGCGGCTTCAGAAGCTGGCCTGAGAAAGCCTGGAAGCGAAAGCAGGGCCCCCCGGGGAGCCCCCACCGTGCCCGATGGGCCCGTGGAGGCTCGCACTCAGTCCCTCCACGGCGGAGTCCTGTCCCCACCCCTGTCCCTTCTCATGTCTCTTCACGCTGGGGCTGACCACTGTCCCAGACTGCACGGGGACGTCTGCTGAGAGACCAAACCCCCGGTGTCCTTGGCCGTCCCCTTTGACCACTCAGCCTCTGCTGACGGAGCCCAGCTTCCCTGGCCGGCTGCTTCCGAAGAGGCCCCGACAGCCAGGAGGGTTCCCTGCGCCTCCCTGTGGCTTCTCCGTGAAGGTCCGGGGCCAGCCCGGATGGATGTGCACCGAGCCTCGGCCCCAAGTGGCGTGTGGGCCCTGCCGTGCTGTCCCAGCCCGTTCGGTTCTCCGTCTGGCGAGCCTTTGTGGCGTCCCTGCCCAGGGCTGCACAGGAACTGCCCTGCCCCTTGGGTTCCTGCAAAGTGGGCCTGTTCCCTTCAGAGGGTACCGTTGGGTGCAGCCCCCTTGTCCCCGGAGGGTCTGGGCCCCTACTCAGAATCCTATCCCCGCTTAGGGGGCGGGGCCTGGGCCAGGAGGGCCTGACTCGCTCCCTGTGCCCTGCTCCCACCCTGGCCGCAGACGACGGGAAGCTCTCGTTTGAGGAATTCCAGAATTACTTTGCCGACGGGGTCCTCAGCGCGGGGGAGCTGCGGGAGCTCTTCAGTGGCATTGATGGGCGTCCTGCCGCGTGAGTGCGCGAGAGGGGGCTGAGCCGTGGGAGGACCGCGCCGTGGGAGGCCAAGCATCCCGACCCTGCCGCGTCCCCTCTGCCGCCGTTCCTGTTGGAGGATGCGGGCAGGGAGACGGGGAGGGGGGGCGCCAGGGCTCCGTGCCAATATTACCCATGTTCCTCCCCCTCCCCAGCTCCAGTCTTGCCCACTACACTGCCTCCAGCTGGGACCCCAAAATAGCCAGGCCTGAGTCACCACCCAGTGGCTCAGCCCCCCTTCCCCCATCCTGCAGGGACCAGAGGATGCCTGGGGACAGCTGGGCCCTGCCTGCTTTCCTCCCCACCCCCAGGGCTGCAGGTGCATGTGCACGCACAGACCTCCCCACGGGTGCCCCCCCTGCACGCTCGGCACGAGCGCGCCCTCCTCCCGCGCTTCCTCATTCTGGTGCACAGCCAGGCACGGCTGTGCCTGCCTCACTTCCCTCCGTCTCCGTAGGATCAGTCCCAGGCTCTGGGCCGGCGTTCAAGCCTCCTGAGACTTGGGCTAAAGCCTTTACAGTGCTCCCCCTCCCTCACCCACCAGACTTCTCCATTAAATTTATCCCTCAAGGCCAGCACCTCCTCCAGGAAGCCCTCCCTGACCTACCAGGCAGTAACCTATGCCTTCCCAGGATGCCTTTCTTCCTGCCTGTCCTTCCCAGCTCTGACCACTCCTCTCTGGCCTAAGTTCACATCTGTCTCCTCTGGCCTGAGACCCCCTTGAAGCCCCATAGCGGGTCTGTGCCTTTGTCCTCCCAGACCACTCGCTGGGGCCTAGTCCTCTGCCCACTGACCAGCTTGGCTGGGGTGGAGTGGAAGTCATGTCCTTGTCGGCTCAGTGGGGAGCTGGTAGGGCAGGGGATTGGCCCGAGTCTAGGGTCTGAAGGGCGCTTCTCTTTTCCTTGCAGCAACGTAGAAACGGAGAAACTGTGTGGTGAGTAGTCCTGTTGGGAGCTTTTGTGTCCAGGGGCCCCTGGCAACCGGGAGTGGCGAGGGCAGGTGTTCCGATGGGACAGCCTGGGCCAGGCTCAGGGGCCCAGGCCTGATTCCTGAGGGACCCCAGGCGGCCGCAGGGCAGGTTGGGCGGGTGGGTGGGAGGCTCAGGAAGGCCCTGAGCACTCCCTCCGCCCGCAGACTACTTCTCGGAACACCTGGGTGTCTACCGGCCTGTGCTGGCCGCGCTGGAGTCGCTCAACCGGGCCGTGCTCACCGCCATGGACACCACCAAGCTGGTGAGCAGAGGGGCTCCTGGCAGGGCGTGCAGAGTGAGGCGGGCGTGGCCGCTGCGCCGTGGCTGGGGCTGGGGAGCTGGAAGCCCGCGTTCCGAGGCTGGCTCTCTCCCCCCTCACTCTGGGCCTCGGTTTTCTCATGTGAACCAGAGGCAGTAGCAGAGCCTGCCACCGCGCATGCGTCGTGTTGGTCCCAGCAGCCAACGGCAGGGTTTTTGTTTTATTCTCTGCCCTGCTCCCAGCACCCAGGCCAGCGCCTGGCACACAGCAGGCTTCAGGGCGGGAGCTGCATGGGTGTGTGTGTGTGTGTGTGTGTGTGTGTGTGCAGTACTCACACGTGTCTGTAGGTGGCGCCCGCCGCAGCACGGGAGGAGGCAGCCGCGCTCCGTTCGTGCCCACATGTGTGTGCCTGTGTGGTTCCAGGCCCTTGTGTGGTGGCTTCAATAAGTCAACTGCCTTTGATGGTTCCTTTTAAGAAATAGCTCCACCCCCACTTACCCCACAGCTCCTACAAGGAGGGGAGCAGTGGGGAGGCCCAGGACTGTGCTCCATCCCACTTTTTATGGAAGGGGAAACTGAGGTTCTCAGTGGAATCACTGGGCAGGGGCAGGGCTTGTCCTAGCTGCGTGCAGGCGAGATCTAGTCCCCACCAAAGGTCTGCTTCCAAGGGGCCTGGCAGCGTGGCCACATGGTGGGGATGAGGGACACCAAGTGGGGGCATGCCTGCCTTGTTGCCGTGGAAATGGGGCTCCAGGGGTTTGGCTGGACTGGCGTTCCAGGACCTGGAAGTGGTTGCCGGAGACAACTGCTGGTGCTGCTGAGTGGGGGCGTGGCCTGTCCCCAAAGAGGACCCTGCCGGCTCCAAACGCTTGCCCATTCTTTTATCGGGTGCTCCAGGGGTGAGGCGCTGCGGCACCCGCCCGGCCCAGCGCCTGCAGCACCCCCTCCAGTCCAGACTCAGTCAAAGACTTCGTGCACCAGCCTGGGGCCACACTCCTGGTACATGGCCCGGGTCATCCAGCGGCGTCGGAACGAGTGCAGGGAGGCCACCATGGAGCCGCCTGTCCACACCGCGGTGCCCCGGCCAGGCCTGGCCACCAGGCGGGGCCTCAGGGCTGCGTAGCCGTGTCGCCGGCACTGCGCCTCCAGCTCCGCGTCCAGGCGCTCGGGGAAGCCAGGGAACAGCGTGGAGCCGCCAGCCAGGACCACCGTGCGGGCCAGCTGCGTGCGCAGCGTGGCCGGCACCTTCTGCAGGGCCCGGAAGGTCAGCGTGGGCAGCCCCGGCGCCGTCTGGCCCAGCAGGCATGGCTGGAAGATGGGCTCGGGGCAGCGGAAGCGCTCGCTGCCCAGGCTGAGGGAGCGCCCGTCGCCCACGCAGACGCTGGCCGGCCACTGGCGGCCCGGGTCCCGGAGGTCAGCCTCGAAGTCCAGCGACACGTAGCAGCAGCGCTTCTTGAGCTGTGTGACCGCCTTGCGGGGCAGCGCCCCCGGCTGCAGGTTGGGGCTGGCCGCCACCAGCATGTCCCGCAGGTAGCGCGACAGCGTGCTGCCCGCCACGTCCAGCCGGAAGGTGGCCTCGTGCCACGAGTGGCCCGCGTAGATGGGCGTGGCGTGGCACACGCCCGCGCCCGCCTCCACCGCCAGCCCGCTGAGCGCGCCGGCCGAGCAGAGCGCCAGCAGCGCCGTGCTGGCCACGTGGCACGCGGGCACCGCCAGGGCCTCGAACAGCAGCTCGGCCGCCCTCTCGCGGCCCGCGGGCGGCGCCGACGGCGACTCGCTCACCAGCACGGGCCACTGCTCGGGGCACACGCGCAGTCTGCCCACCAGCAGGCGCTCCCACAGCCCCTCCAGCGCCTCCCAGTCCACGACCACGCCGTGCTTGATGGGGTGCGCGCGCGCCACCCCGCCGGCCAGCTCGCAGCCCGGCGCGCCAGGGCGCACCGGCCGGTCCCAGCTGGGCACCAGGCTGGAGCTCTTGAGCACGACGCGCGGGTGGCCCTCGCCCGCGAAGCCCGCCTTGGTGAAGCCCGAGCCGTGATCCACCACCACGGCTATGCGGCCGGGCGAGGGCGGCCGGCGGGCCCCGCGGCTCCTGGACGCCTGTGTCATCTTCGAGGCTCGGCCGTGCTCTTCGGCCTGGGGCCCTGCTCCCCGGAGGCCCCGCCTTTCACCGCCTGGCTCCGCCTCCCGAGCCCAAGTCCAAGTCCCGCCTCTTCTGGGCCGGCTCAGCCGTGGGCCCCGCCCCAGCGCCGCGCGCCGCTGCTTCCTGGGCTCCTCGCCGGCCGTGAGACCTGGCTCGCGTGGAAGGCGACAGGGCCCGCCGAATCCGTTCAGAGGCTGAGACACCGCCAGGAGGGCCGGAGCTGCGGCAGCGGGAGGGCCTGTGGCCAGGCCGTCCGGACGTGATTCTCGCCCTGGGGACCCAGCAGCCTCGTTCCGCTCGCCTGGACTTGGAGGATGAAGGTCCTGGTCCCGCGCTCGAGGAGGGATGGGAGAAGGAAGAACGTGGATTGGACGCATTGTGACCTCAGTCCTCGGCCCCTCCCCACGGAAGCTCCCGGCACCCTTCCTCTCCCGGCAGCTGTGTGGGCAAAGGGGGGTCCCACACAAACAGGCTGGTTCCTTCCCAAAGCGCTCTGCATTGTCCAGTGGGCCCTGCACCTTCGAGGCCTTCGACTCCCTGTGCAGCCCCAAGCAGTCCTCTCCCTCTGAGCTGTCTTCCTCCATCCCCTTGCACAAGGAGGAGGCCGCGTCTCGTGTCTGTGGGCGCACACTTTTTGGGACCACTTTGGTGGCCATTAGGAGGATGTAAGCTAAAGTGTGGGGTTTTTATTTATCTTTTAAAGATTAATTACTAGAAAGAGAGAGGCCTTCAAACCTACTGGTTCACTCCCCAAATGGCCGCAATGGCCAGGGCTGCGCTGATCCGAAGCCAGGAGCCTCCTCTGGGTCTCCCACACGGGTTCAGGGGCCCGAGAACTTGGGCCATCTTGTACTGCTTTCCCGGGCCACAGCAGAGAGCTGGACTGGAAGTGGAGCAGCCGGGACTCGAACCAGTGCCCATATGGGATGTTGGCACTGCAGGCGCCAGCCCCTGAAGTGTGGGTTTTATTGCAAGGCTCTGTATTGGACACCAAAGGCAAGGGCACAGTCAGGTGTCAGGAGCTAGGTCTGATCACAAGGCTGTGGGGAGCCAGGAGGTGCCCTGGCGATGCAGTGCAGCCCCAGGGAGGGCACTGGCGGGACTTACTTGGGCCGGTCCCGGGAGGCTCATTGCACGAGGAACCTGGGGGAGGTGAGAAGGCACAGTTCTGAGAATCCGCGGGTCAGGCCCCCGGACAAGGGCAGTGGATCGCATTGTGGGTGACACAGGCGTGCCTTCTGTAGGTTCTGAGGGGGCCGTGTGAAGCTGGTCACCAGTGGGGGGCTGGGGAGGAACCACTGGATCTTGCCCCCAGGAACTGTGCCAGGCGCCTCTCGAATGACTTAGCGAGCATCACCCTGGAGGCCGCGTGTGGCCATAGCCACCTGGAGGCCCAAGGGGGAGGAGTGAGGCTGGGCCTGCAGAGCGCCCTGGGCACTTCCTTGGGAGGGGGCAGCAGCGTGGGGCTCTAGAGCAGGGAGTGTGCTGCCCCGGACGGACGCGGGCAGGGCCGGAGGGGGCGAGGCCCAGGGGCGCCAACTCTCCTGGGCGAGCTCTAGACCCTGACCCTCCCCGCTTCCCCGGGATGGTGTCTGTTGGCTGGGGCCCTCCCTCTGCCTGCGCCGGGTGTCTTTGTTGTGGGCTTGCCCTGCCCGCCACCCTTGGGCCTGCAGCCCTGGCGCGGTAGCTTTGCCCGGCGCCCACCCCTCTCCGGCAGAGCTGGCAGCGGCCGCGTTGCTCTGAGCTCTTTATTGGGCCGGGTCTCTGGGCAGGGGGCTGCGCCGGCGGCTCAGGGCCGTGGGCGAGGGCAGCGGCGCCGCTTGCGTGGCCGGCCCTTCCGCGGGAAGCGGTGGAGGCGAGCGGGCTGACGACGGGCAAGGCCGATGGGGGGGCACTAAGTGAAAGGGGGCATAAGGGTTCTCGGTTGTTTCG